TTAAATAATGTTTTAAATAACTCTCAATATTTTTATATATTTTTCATTAGTTTTACCTTTGAATATTGTTTAAGAATGACTATATAAATATTTACATGCCTAGAAATGTATAAAAATTGGCATATTTATTAACTTTGAACCCCCATAACTTTTTATGGGGGTGAGACCGCCACGAACTTTTTATGGTACAGTGGTGGGGGAGACCTCCTCTTTCGATCCCACCCTTCGGGGGTGGGGGCCATCATCTAAACCTTTACCGTATATTTTTATTTCGGATATCTTTATTCAATCGTAATTAGGATCTCACTGGGAATTCCTTAAACTGGATAGCCTTATTAAGTCCTCACATATATCGGGCTAACCTACTTCTAATTTCTAGTCGGGGTCAGTTACCGGCCAAATTCCCATTGAAGGTACCTTCAGCAAGGAACAGCGAAACGTTTCGAACTACGAAATTCCATGGACCACCACTGAAACAACTCGGAAAACAATATAGAATCGGTATGACCCGGCCGTGAAAGCCTGAAAACTATAATGTGCAAACAGATATAATCAAAAAGTCTTAAAAAGCGATTTCAAAAACAAAAACAAACTTTAGTTACTAGATAAACCTGAAGCTAAAGAAACTATGAATCTTTTTCTTCCTCTTATTCCAATTTGCAAAAAATCGAAACCAAAATAAAGTTGTAAATATTCTTTGATATAAAAAGATTTATGTTGATTTTGCGTCAATAAAATTATTTACAGCCCTATTTTGGCTCTGATCTTTTACCCTAAATAAACGATTTGAGCATCAATGACATTTCCCTTTTCTAAATTAATTGCAAAGGCAAATAACGGAGCACGTACAGGAATTGTTGGTGAACTGTGCGAAAACTACAATGTAAAGATATAAAAAATATATCTCAATCAATTCAAGAAAGAAAAAGTCAACATTTAGAATCCTAGAACGTGTTTCGACGCCGCCTAAAGTGCCATTCTCAATTAAAGACTTTTAAATATAAGCTAAATTACACAAACTTTGTGTAACTTGGTTTATAAAAGATATTCACACAGAATGTTAAGCAAAACCGCCTTTTTCTAATTAAAACTTCGACATCTTCGAACATTTTATTGCTATTATTTTCGATTTTCTTTTTTAATATTTTAAGAAGTATTACATTATATTTGTCGTTGATTGTATATTTTCTATTCATTAACTGCATTTGTTTATGTTACTTATAATTTTCTCATATAAAAAGAGGGAAAAAATGTATTTCAAAAAACAAACAGATGCTTTAGAAGCCGATGAAGAAAATATTTAGTTACTAGAAATATTTACTTAACATAACAAAAGACAAACTAAAAGCCAGATGTACTTTAAGTTTACTACATTTATTACGACTAGATGCCTAGATATTATGCATTAAAATTGTTAATTACCTTGCAATTCAGTATTAACTACTACATCAGACGTTAATTAATATTAAACACGTAACATGGAAGTATCGTTTAAAAACTATTAATAATTAAATGTAACTTTTATACATTTTATCAACGCCATAAAAATATTAAAAAGTGCGTATTAGTAGAACATAAAAACTAACCTGACCTTGTAAGAACTGCGGTTTTCGTCTGTTTCTGTTTGAGTCAATTGTTTATCACACATAATAAAAGTTCTGCTCCACCGATTTTTACAATAAAACGAAACGCAGACACGGTTTGTCTATTTCTATTAGGTAAATTATTCGATTAAAGGAACATTTGGACGTGTCTTTAGAAAAACGAAACGGATGACGTTCACTACCGATAAAAAAACGCGTTTTTTTATTTACGCTAAAACCGAAAAGAAAGCTTTCCGCTACTAGGTACTTAACCAAACGTCAACGCGAACTTGATGAAAATTTTGAATGTTGGAGAATGCAACAGATCGCGACTGCGTAATACAAAAGAAAGCAGTATGATGTACAGGGCGTCTGTATTTCCTTTTATATTTTATTTTTGAACTTAAGCATGACATACCTATCTTTTCCTGGTAAATAAAAAAAATTATATATATCAAAAATGCATTCAATTTTAATAATTTACTATAAAACGATTTTCTCCGTATTTAGGTAAAATGAAAAAATAAGCTGCTATAATAAGCTTACTAAGGAAACAATTTAAAGAAAGGGAACAATTAAATTTTATACTCTATCATGAATGAAACAAAAAAACACCTTTGAATTGTAATTATTTCAAAAAAAAAACATCACATTTTTTCAATGTTCTTGCAATTCTTTTTCTAAGTCTTTCATACTTTACAAAAAAATTAGGGGCATAATTCTGATGCTAATAACTTCAAACAGCGTTTTTCTAAGATCTCAAAAGTGTTACAATTATGTGTTCATAACTTTTGGAAAAATTAATTCAAAAACAAATATCTATGTTTCAACTTTTTATTAGAAAACTCTTACAATTGTTTCGACCAAAAGGTCCATGAAAAAGACATTTTATCAAAGAAACAATTTAAATAAATAGCTGTGTTGTAATAAACAGGGAAAGAAATTGCAACAATTTAGATGTAGATACTTCATTTTAACGAAAATCTAAAGCTAGTTTCTAGTAACAGCTAGAAAAAGTAAACCTCAAATATTGACTTCGCCATAAACATAATGAAATAACGTTGTGAAAGTCCTTTATGATCGCGATATCAATTTTTTGTTTTCGTCTAGAAAGCACTTAAACTAATTATGGTTAGCAATGACCGGTAGAACACTCTTATAACATTAACAACATAATTTCTTTCACTATTTTAGATTTTACAACACCAAGCTTGTAATTAATACGCAGACGACCTTACTATTTAATTTACAACAAACACATGTACTTATATGTCTAATGATTAAAAAAGGTAGAAGCAGGACAATGTGGTAAATAAATAAAACATACCCCTCAATATTGGAGCAGAGGGGACTAGAAATTTATTTAATTAAAAAAGAATTTCAATATTATAAAAAAACAATTCGATGTTGTTTCAAGTTTTTAAAGAACTCTAACGTGTTTCAAAACTTGTACTAGTACTTCCCAGTCGTATTAGCTCGACAAAACGAGAGATGCTTTATTCGCGTATTCACTTTAGAAAGATACGAAGTTTTCATAATTATTGATGTTAATTACATATTAAATATTGAATTCGTTAAGTAAAAAAATTGATAATTGGACAACTACTCTTTCAGTTCACAGTATAGAGTATGTATTCTTTTGAAATATTTTGAAGATAAATAATATAAATTCTTTTTAAAAAATTTTTCACCACATAATTAGGGTTGCCACCAAGCCAGTTTTCCACCGTCTAAGGCCAGGTACCAGTCAGCACTCAAAAAAGAACATGGCCCGCCATCTGTTGATGAATAGTGAAATTACTTACTTATTCTACAATGATAGTAGTTTGTCTGCCTACTTTCCGGGATTCACCGAGCCTCATACAAAGCAGGTGATGATGATTCTTAGATTTGTTGTAAATTTTTGTTTCCTATTTCGTAATACCACCAAATATGAGTGATAATGATAGTGAAATGACAAACGTCATTGCAAATTTTTAATCTTATATCATCTTTTTTTTTAATATATGTATAAAAATAATTTTAGTAAAATATGAGATCCCCAAAAATCACAACCAGGGCCGGTTCTTGGTTAACAAAAAGGTGGCAACCCTATGTATATAATTAGTTCAGCCACTATTATGTGCAAGAGGAATTGTTATTATTTAATATATCATTTTGCAAGAAAAAAAGAGAAAAAATATGTAGTTGTAAATTTTTATTTAACTCAAAACCACACACTTCTTTATGAAAATATATTCATTTAAATAAACAAGACAGTATCAATTACGTAACATTTACTTAAATTATAGTGTGAGTGGATGCGAATTTTAAATAATTTCTATATAAAAAACTTTATTACTATCCTAAATTCGCTACAACACGTTACAATTAACGAACTTATTTCTGTAAAGTCACGGGAAACGATCTCGCGGGAGATCAATCACAAGAAATACAATATTCCGCGATTTTTCGAGAAAAGGCTCGAAGTGTCCAACAATAACGCGTTCACTTAAAACAGCAACGCACTCATGCCGCCCATTTCACTTTGTTCCTTGACAAATATCTCAAAATATTGATAGATAATAGTGACAGCCAATAAGATACCAGTACCAGAACCAATAGCCCCCAAAAAGTCTGCCAAAACTGACAGGGCTCCGATACAGAGACCGCCAAATGCTGCAGCAGTTGGAATGTACCTGTTCAATTCATGAATCATCGAATTATCTCTGTGTCCTCTCATAACCATCTGTTGCTCTTTGAGTTGTTTAGCAACGTCTTTAGCTGAACTTCCGGACACTTCGATCCACGTTTTCGAAAAAAATGCACAGGATCCTAACATGAAAATTATGTAGAGTACAGCATGAACGGGGTCCTCAAGAATATGGCCAACACTTTCAGGGGGGCTTAAATAATAACACAAGCCTCCTATAGGGTAAGAACGTGCTGGTCCACCACCCCCAACATCTGCCCAAACCCCCAAGAAATTAACCAAAAAATTGCCTTGAAATTTAACAGCCAACATTTGAGAGATAACATATAAATTTGAAACAAGGGCAGACTGCAATATTATTGGGATGTTAGAAGTGTAAAAGAGTTTGATGGGATAACTTGAGTACTGTCCTCGGTACCTTGCACTTTTAATAGGCAAATCGACTCTGAACCCTTGAAAGTATATTACAATTGCAAAAACAAGAACAGTGGCGAGTAAGTTCATTAAATTAGGAAGATTTTGACGATAGAATGCTTCGCGGAGGGCTCGGACTTTATCTTGTCTGGTGGTCAACAGGTGGAATAATGCAATAACTGCACCCTCGAATTCCGTGCCTCTACCAGTATTAACCGTCGTTGGCGAGAATGCTTTCCAAATAATTGTTTCACAAATGTTCGTGGCAATAAAAAGAGAAATACCAGAACCAAGACCATATCCTTTCTGTAAAAGCTCATCAAGTAAAAGTACAATCAAGCCGGCAACGAAAAGTTGAATAATAATTAAAAGACAAACTCCTGCTCCTATTTCAGCTGGATCTCCATACATTCCCGTCATCACGTATACGATGGCTTGTCCAACAGTTATTACCATTCCAAACACTAGAAAATAGAAAACTTTAATCAGACATTGCCTACAAACACCCATAGTTAAATTAAATTTAGCAGACATTTTACCTCAATCAAGCTCAATTCAATACTCAAGTAAACAGTGAATTCTCAAAAGCTACATGACCTACCATCATGAGTATATTTATCAAAAATGCCTTATCATATTTTAATCACTTACAATATAGTGATTAAACTTTTTGTATGCAATTTATCATGACATGTTTAAATAATCTTATTTTTTACTAACTTAAAAAAAGCACACATTACAGTTTGTAAAAACTAAAACTAGGTATTGAGTTCTATGATTTGAGAGATTGTTTGTATTGATTAAACTGTTGGGAACACTCTTCATCTTTTTGAAATACTTTTTAGATGAACAATCAACCAGTGCTTCAAAACTTACATTTCTGTGCTCCATTGAATAAGGCTCTGTCTTTAGGAGTATCACCAACTTCTATAATTTTTGCCCCTGCCAATAATTGCATTATAAGTCCTGAAGTAACAATTGGTGAAATTCCCAGTTCCATCAATGTACCTCTGTTAGAAGCCAAGATTACACGAATCCAGTAAAATGGATCAGCTGAGTCTGAACTCATAATGCCAAATAATGGTATCTGTTTCAAAATATGTTTGCATTAAAATATGGTAACTAATTTTCTATCTCATTTTTATTTTTATGTGTAACGTTCTTCTAATATTAATCAGAAACTTACTTGACAACAGACTAAGAAGATAAATAAGGTAATTGCAGTCCATAGTACTTTTTCTCGAAATTGAATCTGAAACAAAACATCAGGAATTAATCCATAACATCTGTTACATTATAAAGTAAATATTTATGAACTTAATTGTCTTTGGGCAATAAAAAAAACATAATGTAAGGATGGCACATGTTTTGGTAAGATATTAATAAAACTTAATGAAAGCATACCTTTCGTTCTGGTTTTGCAATTTCTGGCAGAATACTGCAGAAGGGTTTAACAACTTCCAAAAATTTAACTGTAAAAAAAGATAATTCAATACGTAAGTTTATAAATTCTACAAAATTATATTAAAATAATGTATGACGTTACACAAATTGTCCATTGGTATAGGTTATTAATTGTTTAATTCTAAAAATACTTACTCCCCATACTTAAAGGGATACACTAATACACAGGATTTGAAAAAATGAGTGTTCTTTAATTCATGAACACCGAAACACAAATAACACGTTACACACTCCCTACAAAAAGTTTACGGTACTTTCTACTTTTTGGCATTCACATTGAACACGTAGACGAAAATTGGTCACGTGAACAGTGATGTTGGCGTGTAATACACACCTTCGCCGATAGGAGAACGAAACGTAGGAACACGTCGACACGTAAATCTGACGTCATATTTTGATAACTTTGTGCACAGTGTGTCCCACAACATCCTCTGACGAATACATTATACAGTATGTACAGCGATTCAAGCAGCTACAAATTCTTATATGTACAAAAAAAATACAATTCACCGACAACTTAAATTCTGCCACTTATTTATATGATAAAATTGTACTTACAGTGCCAGATTATGTTACATGAGAATCAAGCTATTAATTTTTGCGAAAACATGTATAAGTACTCAATAGTAATTCGGAAGTAATATTTGCGTACATCGTAGGCTCGCAACATCACCAAATTAAAGGCACTAGCATTTTACCTCCCATAAAAAAAAAGAGTGCGAAGAGATCGGTCGCACGGCTCGCACGAGTATGACTAAAACGTGCGCCATAAGAATACAAACATTTTCTTGACATTTTGCGCGAAAATTTTTGAATTCTAACTAAGTAGTATCAAATTAGAAAGAGGAGACTGTGGTAAATATTAATTAAAAATTAAAAGGAATACTCACCCCTAATTACCACAAATAATTTTATTTTTAGGTAAAATTATTTGTGGTAATTAAAGAAGTAGTATCAAGAAAAATACATTACAGAAATCAAAAACATCTAAAATGTTCACCATTATACCGTTAACATGATTAAAAGTAAAATAATGTTTCAAAAGAATTTAAATAATTTTCTATATTTAATTAAATTTAATATGTATTAAAAAATGTACACATTTAGTCAGAAATTCTAACGTTTATGCCTAGGTTTTCTTTTAACTGGTCTAGGTGGAGGTTCTTCATTATCATCTGAAGTGAAATGTTGATCACCCCATTCCTTTTTTAATTCCTGTAACATTTTGGGGGTTAGTAGACCCTGAGCTAGTAACCTTTCCGTTAATTTGCCACGACCAACTGAGGATGATTTTGCGCCTAAAAAAACAAGGTAATAAAAAAATGCAGAAAAAGCATACCACATAAAGCATACTTCTTAAATAATTTTGCCTTTGCTTATTTATTTCAAATTCATCTTCATCTAGAGCTGCCCCAGTTGCCGACCTAATTCCTGTCTCAGAGTTTCTTAAAAGCCTAGTAATTTGCAGAACACCTTGTTGGATAATCGAATCAAGTTCACTCTGTATGTCGCGTACCAAATGTGCGTCCGGAAACAAATCCATAAACCGATAACTGCAAGCAAATAAAAATAGCAATACATTGTAAATTTAACGCAAAAGAGTGTTATTGGAGCAGCTGACACTTTTATGAATTAATGACCCTACCTTAACCATAAATACAGATCTAACACATCAAAAACGGCCTCTAAATGTACTAAATCGATTATAGTTTTAGGAGTCTGAAGGGGCCACCCAATATTTCTGCATAGCCAATCAAATGTTATAGACTCATTCTTACTATACTGCCTGGCGAACTAGAAGATCTATTTATTAAAAAAAACTTATCATTGGTTAATTTTTTCCTTTACCTTTAGAAACATTGTACATACAAATGGCATTTTTTTGTTGATCGGGGCACAACAAAAAACATACCTGGCTCTCAAAGGTAATGGCACATGCTGAATCATATCAGCTAAAAATTTAAAATCTTCTATATTGCACATAAAATACAAAGAATCATCTACAGTTGATAGATTGATAAAGATGTCCTGGAAAACAGAAATTAAAATTGAGTATACTCTTCCCACTAACAACATTTTGAAAATAAATAAAAACCTCTTCAAACTACGAAGAAAGTAAGTTCTTACCATCAAATTACTCAAAGTAGCGTTCGGTAAATGGTATGCATACAATTCAATTTGCTCTGCAGTGGGATGTAAACCAGCCTGAGTAATAGATTCAGGTTCGCTATTTAGCAAACTTTTTAATGTATTTAAATCCTCTGGTTTAAACGTAGTAACAAATCCTTGCTCCCATTGTGTACCATATCTTAATACAATAACACTTACAATTAATATTAAAAATGTACAACAATTTATCCATTTACCTTCCGGCCCTACCGGCAATTTGCAACGCTTGAGATACAGATATAACGTCCATTTCTTTCTCACCTTTCTCATTTAATGTGGGTTTAATTAAAGAGTAAAATATCACTCTTCTTATACTCCTAAAATTTTTTGTCTTGTATTGTATAACAATAATTAAAATTAATTTAATAAACTTATTACAAATTTAGACCCATTCCAATGGCATCAGTTGCTACCAGAACTTTACAACTACTTTGGGGATCGTTAAATTTAGCAGCTTGGGCCAATTTTGTACCGGGAGGCAATCCTCCATAAATCACAGCAACTTCTTTACCACTTGCCTCTATCGCCCTTGAAACAGAATAAATATCATTTTTACTAAAACAAACTATACAATCTCCGGGCTGGATATTTTCCAAACTTCCTGTAAAAATTCTATAATCAGTTTTAACATCACTTAATAAAAAACCTACACGTTCTACTTACCTAAAGCAGTATTTTCAACAGTAAGGTCTGTTAATCTTTTATATCTTCTTATTTCAACATCTTCACCTGTAGTAAGACAAATTTTTTGTATAAGATCTGTTGCCCCAACTTCACCACATAAGTGAACTTCCTCTGCTATAATTCCTAAAAAGGCTCTAGTCCATGCCCATCCCCTAGACAAATCCCTGATCATTTGAATTTCATCTATAACAGCTACTTCATCTGAAAAAGATAAATAAATCATTAAAAAAACGATAATTTTGCTTTTTTTTTATTCTAACAGGGAGTATTAACAGAAGACATCTCCACTGTGCAGGAAACATGGGGTGACTGATTTCCTGAAGGATCAGCATAATTTCTTTCTTCTCCAGTTATTAAATCACAACTTGTTCCCTTAAAACCAAAAGATTTATAAAATTCAAAATTGCAAATAGTTTATTTTATTCTACTTACCCTCCCATTGCACTTATTAAACACTTCATTAGCTAAAAGTTTTAAAGGACCACAGTAAACCCCTGATTTTGCAGTCATGAGTCTTTCAAGGGCATGGTATGTCTTTCCTGAATTTGTAGGGCCTGCATGAAAAATTATCTTCCTATTTAAAGCTCTAGCTTGTGGATACCAGTTGGCAGGATCTCTTAAGTCAGAAATTTTCTTTAAATCATCTAGACATTCTAAGTGTGGAAACATTTCTTTGGCATGTCTTAAAAAGTATGGGAAAATATCTGTTACATGACCTGCCCCTTGTAAAATGTCACTTATAACAATATGAAGATCAACAGGAAGGGTCTTTGCATCTAAACAATATCTTCTAAAACTCACATAGGACTGGTGTTGTATATAATCTACAATAATTATATCGCTACATTTATAACATATTAATCTTTAAAATTCAACTTACGATCCAAACCATTTTCAGTCAGCAACTGTTTTACTTCTCTTTGCTGGTAAAAAGTATTCAATACCCTCAGCAAACCAGATTTATTTAAAGAACCAGTTAGTTCTACTCCTACATTTATATCATCAGGATTTGATTTAACAGGGACTGGTTTGAATAATGTAGATATGGAATTCGAGTCATCTTTTTTACCTCTTCTTTGTTGAATCAATGGGAAAGTAGTTATGCAAGTTTCTTTAGTCTTAAATCTCCTTTTTAAATTACTAATTGAAAAGAAGGTGAACGCTATTCTTCTCGGACTAGTTAACATTTTAATTTTTGTAATTTCAACAGCATTGTAATAAGTTTTTCCTACAGAAAACATAGATTGTATTTTAATACATTTATTAGTTGTATAATTTTATATTTAAATACCTACCTAATAAAAAAAATCTACAAAACTTGAGAATATAGAGGTTAGAAACGTCGAAACTTTTTAGGTTAGACAGGTTTTTTAATAGACATTTCATAGACATACTCATAGATAAGTTTTAAATCAAACATCAACATTAGTGGTAAAATTTAAAAATTTGGAATTACGTACATTGCAATACATACAACACATTTTATAAATTATTTTTTAATAACATAATATTACAGATTTCCCAATGTAAATATGTATTTAAAAATGTCATGATCTTCAACATAAAAAATTTCACAATAATTTAGAAACGAATATATACACACCTTCCTGATTTATTTTTGTGTGAATGACTGTAGACTGTACAGCCAATGTGTGTGTAACGTCAACAAGTGGCGGTTAACCTTGAGGTAAATTCATATAATAATAAATGATTACTAAATAATTACTTTAGTAATTATTGCAGGTAAGTGACGATCAAGCAGTAATACGTGTTATAATTTAACGGTACATTTAAGTTTGCCTTATCTTTTGCTATTATTGGAAGTGATTTTTAATAAAATATAATAAGAAAAATGTTAGCACTAACCGGTCGTGCACTTCACTTTGTTTTTAAAATTCCAAATAGGAGAGAAACGCTTAGATTTTATAGAAATGTATTAGGAATGAAGGTATTAAGACATGAGGAATTTGCCGAAGGATGTGAAGCAACATGTAATGGGTAAGTTTCTTTTTGTTTTATCAATTGAGATGAATAACAATAGAATCTTTTTAGGCCTTATGCAAACCGTTGGAGTAAGACAATGGTCGGTTATGGCCCTGAAGATAGTCATTTTGTGGTAGAATTAACATATAACTACCCTGTTAAATCATATGAGAAGGGTAATGATTTTATTGGCATAACCATTAAAGGCAAAGAGATCCTTGAGCGAGCAAAAGCAGAAAAGTGGCCAATTCTAGAAGGAAACACTCTGGAAGCTCCAGGGGGTTATAAGTTTTTCATCACAGATGAACCACAGCCATTGGATAAGGGTAATATTTGTAAAACAATTAAATTACTTAACTATTCCACATAATCCTGTGACAGAAAATTAATTTATTTAATTTGAATGTTTAGATCCTGTCCAAAAAGTTACCTTGGCTTCATCTAATTTGTCTAACACTTTAAAATATTGGCATGATATTTTGGGACTAAATGTTTTTGAAAAAACTGAAAAGTGTGCAGTTCTTGGCTTTAATGACACTCAAACAAAATTGGAATTTCAGGACATTGGTAATGTATCTAAAAGATTTCTTTCATAAAAATTATGTTAAGGGTTCCAAACTGCTATTATTTGCTCTTAGTTATTCCTCAAATATTACATCAGAATTTGCACTGGCTTATGAATAAAAAACTGATATTATGTCGCAATTTTTTCCATTATATGTTTTAAATGTATTTATGTTGGATGATTCTTTCAGAATATTACCTTAAGTTTCTTTATCTATTAATTTAAAGTAATTAATTTCACAACCATTAAATTAAAAAATTATCTGTTAGTCGTAGATAAAATTAATTGCATTATCATTAAAATATCTTCATGTATCACGTAAAAGTACGATTCATCTAATTCCGCGTATGTACCTTACTGATTAAATTTTTATCTATTTGAAAAGAACATTGAAAATGTACTTACCTTATTACTATTTTCTTATTCAAAATAATAATGCTAAGGTTTGATTAATAAAAATTTATTGAAGGTCAAACAATTAATCATGCAAAAGCGTATGGCCGTATTGCATTTTCCGTTCCCTATGAGCAACAGCCTCTTATTGAAAAGGCCATAAAAGAATCGAAAAATAAGATAGTGACGCCGTTAATATCTTTGGATACACCTGGCAAAGCAACAGTGAGAGTAATCATTTTGGCTGATCCCGATGGTCACGAAATTTGCTTCGTGGATGATGAAGCATTTAAAGAATTATCAAAACCGGACTATGAAAGTGAAAAAATATTGGATTTATACATGAGAAAGGACGCAACCGACAAGTAAAGCAACTTAAATAATACATATTTCTGTATTTCTTTAAACATCATTGTGATAGGAAAATAAAAACCTAATAAGTTCTTTGATATTATTAATATACTGTACTTAATAGAACTTTAATTTAGATTTATTTTCATATACAACTTTGTACTAATATGTTTATACAATAAATATGTTTATGAACTGTTTATTTTTACATTTTCTTTTAACAAACATGGTTTTTTCTGGAACCCTATTAAAGACATTTGCAAATAAAAAAAATTTGTTCTATGCACCCCACTACACCGCTTGCCCCTCTTCTCAGGGATAAGAGAACACGTGTAGTTGCAGTCGTGAAGGTCATTGTCAATTAGTTGATATTAATCGGAATGTCGTGATAATTTTTATTGAAGATAAAGAGTATACGTCTAAGGAATAAAATTAAAAAAAGTGATCAAAACCTATACAGTACATACTGGCTATCATTTTTTTTTATTTACATTTAAATTTTACGAAAAGTTAATATTTTTTTTAATATTCTTTAGTATCTTCAAAAACTGTTTTATGGTATTATATTTTTTGTCTAACTTCTGTCTCGTAAGTTTTCATTTTTAATTTTCAATTACTAATTATCTTTACAATGATAATATTCTGTCTTATTTAATCAATATAATTAAAAAAATTGTTTCTGAGATACATATTTTTAAAAATATTGTACATATACAGTGCCAGAAGTACCTTTTTATGCTTTCGCGCAGCTGACTTAAAACAGTACTTATGATCGCTTTACTGTGCAGAGCGCGCTGTAAAAGGCAGTATTAGACTAGAGTACCTTTTTTGTACTTTTAAAATATCGTATTAGTTAACTAATATAACATAATTAACTAATTGGTACTCATCTACTATATTTTATCAAATTTCGTAAAAGTTTGTTAAGCCTATTTTGAGAGATCATAAAAATATTAATTTTTTATCTTAGCCTTGCTCTGAAACAAACAAAAGCGTTTCTAGCGTAAATTTATCTGAGCTTTTTACCCTGAATGATCAGTGTACTACTAATATTATATCCTAAAATATTTCCCATTTTCTTAAAATACCCTGTATAAAAATTATAATTAGTAAAAATGCAGATGTATTTTTTATATAATTTTATAAATGTCAATCAATTTATTATCGTATCTAACATAAATTTGTTTTTTTTTTTTACACTTTATGATGAGTAAATCTTGTGATTAAATCCAATGCCCATTTGGCTTGATCCGCTGGTACCATGTGGCCAGCGTTTCTAACTAAAACTTCCGTTAAATTTCCTGCATGTTTTTCATATCCGGCGAGTTCACCGTCAACAAACCATTGATGCCTTTTTGCGGTTTTATATGCCTCTGCTCCGCTGAACTTTAAATTTTGCAAAAAGTTTATTGTCAATGGATAAGCTACTATAATATCCAGCTGGCCGTTGTAAAAAAGAATCTGATAATGATTTAATAATTCAATTATCCATGGTGCTACTGACTGCATCATATCTTCCACGAGATTTGTCTCCACCGTTTTATCTTCGTCATTAAATGTGGTATTCCCTACATGGATAGCTGCTCTAACATCAGCTCGTTGTATGTACCTCCCCATATAAGTGATTTCATTGTTTGTATTATTTGCGATAAGATAGTTGAAGTAATTATCAAATCCGGTTATGTTTTTAAATAAAGATGGATGACCACTAAGATCTCCGTTAAGCAAATCATCGAATGTCTTAAACGCTAAATCCCATTTCTTATTTTTTATGTAATTAACACCTTGTTCTTCTATTTTTCTCAACTGACTTTTACTATTCAAATCGATTAATCCCAACTGATATAAATAATCGTCGTAATAAATCTGATTTTCAGGATCACACAAGCCATTTCCAATACTTAATCCACTTAAATTTATTTTGATTTTTGCTGTGGGATTATTTTTATGAATTGTGTATCCTATGGCAGGAACATACTTTCCAGCATACGATTCACCAGCAATAAAAAATTTATTTTTTTGAAGTTCCGGAAATAATTTGAAAAATTGCACAAGAGCTTCATATAAATCGTTTCCTACTGCAGTTTCATTTTTTGCATATCCGCCATTAGTAAAACTGTAACCTGTTCCTACAGGATTATCGATGTATATAACAGAATGAATGCTAGTCCACGTATATCTACGAAGCTTTAAACCATGTTTGCTTTTGGCTGCAAAAGGTCCATTTTCTGCAAATAATCCTATAATAGATGTTGCACCAGGACCTCCTTGAAGCCATAAAATCACTGGATCTTCTTTATAATTATTAAGTGATGGGAAAAACCAAAAAAACATATTCGAATTAAATTGTTTATTCACAGTAAAATACCCCGCATAGCTTGTAACATTCTTGAATCCATTGAAATGAACTTGCGAGGCATTTTGAGCTTCTGCAATTTTATTTTGTTCAATTAACGGTGTTAGTATTAATGGCTGACCAGGATCGCCAATATAATTTTCTTGTTTTATTTTGGGATACACATTTATAAAACAGTTTCCACTCACTATGAACAAGATTATTGTTAATATAAAAAAATAAAATAAACTCATTATTAATGGCGTATCTTATTCCTACACGGTAGGTAACAGAAGCTGTCGAATGCTCTAACTAATAATAAACCGACAATCAATACTTTGAATTGAAACCGTGACTTTCGTTTATCATATTGACTATTAACAGTCTGCTGCTCTTTGACCTTTTTATCATTTAAACAACTAACTCACAACGGTTTATTAATTAACATTTATTAGCCCTTATTGATATATGCACATACATGCGAAAACACTATCACAATAGAACGTCTAACATGTAAAATATTACGTTTGCTTGGAAGGTACATGTTTTAATTTTTTCGAATTTATTTGAATTTTGTTTTGATAATTTTTAATTCATTCCTAAAACTATGAGATCATTTACCTACAGATACAGTTTTCGTTAAAACACTCAAAATACAAAAAGAAAAAAGATCAAAATTAAAAAATCCCACAGCATTATCGTCGTTTATTCAGTTTATAAGATTTTTTCTTATAATTATTGGATGTTACCCCATATAAATTTTATTTAATTCGACATTCCCTACCTTTTTAACGGAATGTAACCCATCCACCCATTCGTAAAAATAGTGTAAGTGAAAATTGTATTTTTATTTTATTTACAAAAACATAATTACGTAAAAATTACTTAAACAAAAGAAATCAGAGCCGTTATTTTTTTTAAAAAAAAATGAAAATCAAAAGATTTTCAAATTACATGCACACTAAACATTAGCTGTACGTTATACGTTTGGCTTATTAATTAATTATTATCAGTTTTTATGCTACACTTTGTAATGAGTAAACCTTGTTATTAAATCTAATGCCCATTTGGGTTGATCTGCTGGTACCATATGACCAGCGTTTCTAACTAAAACTTCCGTTAAATTTCCTGCATGTTTTTCATATCCGGCGAGTACACCATCAACAAACCATAGGCGCCTTTTTGCGGTTTTATATTCTTCTGCCGCACTGAATTTTAAATTCTGCAAGAAATTTATTGTCAGCGGATAAGCCACTATAATGTCCAGTTGCCCGTTGTAAAAAAGAATTCGATAATGATTTAATAATTCACTTATCCATGGTGTTACCGATTGAAACGCATCTTCAATTAGATTTATTTCCACCATTTGATTAATATCATTGAAAGTAGTGTTCCCTACATGGATAGCTCTCCTAATATCAGCTTGTTGTATATATTTTCCCATGTAGATGAATTTGTCGTCTGTATTATTTGCATTAAGATAGTTATAATAATTATCGAAACCTGTTATGTTTTTGAATAAAGAAGAATGTCCACTAATATCCCCGTCTATGAGATCATCAAATGTCTTAAAAGCTAAATACCATTGCTTATTTTTTATGTAATTGAGTCCTTGTTCTTCTATTTTTCTCAATTGAATTTTACTATTCAAATCGATTAATCCCAACTGATATAAATAATCGTCGTAATAAACCTGATTTTCGGGATCGCAGAATCCATTCCCGATACTCAACCCACTTAAGTTAATCTTGACTTTTGCTGTAGGATTATTTTTATGAATCGTGTATCCTATGGCAGGAACATATTTTCCAGCATACGATTCACCAGCAATAAAAAACTTATTGTTTTGAAGTTTAGGAAATAATTGGAAAAATTGTACAAGAGCTTCATATAAATCATTTCCCACTGCAGTTTCATTTTTTGCATATCCACCATTAGTAAAACTGTAACCTGTTCCCACAGGATTATCAATGTATATAACAGAATGAGTGTTGGTCCACGCATGTCTACGAAGTTTTAAACCGTGTTTGCTTTTGGGTTTAAAAGGTCCGTTTTCTGCGAATAATCCTATAAGAGATGTTGCACCAGGACCTCCTTGAAGCCATAAAATCACTGGGTCTTGTTTGTAATTATTCAGAGATGGAAAAAACCAAAAAAACATATTCGAATTAAATTGTTTATTCACAGTAAAATACCCCGCATAGCTTGTAACATTCTTGAATCCATTGAAATGAACTTGCGAGGCATTTTGAGCTTCTTCAATTTTATTTTGTTCAATTAACGGTGTTAGTATTAATGGCTGACCAGGATCGCCATTATAATTTTCTTGTTTTATTTTAGGATACACATTTGTAAAACAATCGCCACTAGCTATAAATAGACACATTATTAATATAAAAAAATTAAGTAAACTCATTTTTGACGTAGATGTCTTATTTCTACACCATAAACTGTACGTCGTTCTAACTAATAATATAGCGGCAATCAATATTATTAATTCAAACCCTGACTTTTGATGATCTCTGAACCCTTTATCACTTGAACAATGGAGTCACAAAGTTTAGAGAAGTATTTATAAACTCCGATTGAAGTACTTCCATGTAGAGACAACTTCGTCCAAATGAAACATCTAGTATGTAGATTATTCTGAATATTATATGGATTTATATGAATTCTTCTAATCATTAATCTCTACTATTACATCATTACGATTCTTCACTTTCTTATATGAGCATTCAAACTTTTAATTGGTACTCCATATATTTTAAACGAAAATGGCCTACAGTAACACGGAAGTGAATACTGCTTAGACCTAATTAAAATTAAAATGAAATAGTTTAAACATTATTATTTTGGAAATCAATTATAAAATTAAAATGATATATTTGCGACTATTTTCGATTATTAGGGCTAGTTAAATCAATGAAAGAAGTAGTAAAAAGGAAAACAAAAGAAGTTCTGTTTTCTTTCAAAACGGCACAGTTTTCAAAAATTTATTTAAAAATAATAAAAATAATAGGTACATGATATATAATAAAAATGTTACTAATCATAAAAGACTCGCGCGCTGTTCTAATATTTTTGAGTTTGTACAACTTTAGAGTCAACACTTATTTCGTTCACTGTTCCCAAATCCTTTGGTTTGTTTTTCATTTGAATACTAAAAATAAAAAGTAATGACCAAAGTTGCAAAAACTAAATAAGTAGTTTCACAATTAATATAATTTACTAACCGTCTCTTTACCAATTTTATCAAAAACAAAACAAGGAGCGGTATTGGCGTCATACAGGCAACAGCAACAGGAGCAACTGTATAAATAAAAGACGAAATTAAAATTAAAATAAAAAGGAAATCCAGTAGTTCATCATATACTTGTAGTCAAATCGGCTTCCGGTTGAGGTAAAGAAAATCGCAAAAGAAAAATAGCAATGCCTGTATTTTGAAGTCCCACTTCAATCGCTATTGTTAAAGAATCTTTCGGATTTTGTCGAAAAATCTTTGCTAATAACCAACCCCCTAAGTAACCCAACCAGGGCACGCCAATACCAGCTACAACGATCTAAAACAAATCAACTTAAAAGATAATTATGAACGTTATCTCCGATGTGTATATGTTCATACCTGCCACGAAAACATTTCGAATAAATATAAATTTGCTACTATTGCAAAAACAATGATAAATATTATAAGAATGCCAGAAAATATCTTAAGGGTTTTTCGAAGAAAATTGGCAGTCTTCTGCATGTACCGTTGAATCAAGTAACCAATAGCAAGTGGAATAACTAATGCAACTGCAAACATTGTGATATTTCTGGAAAACAAATAAAAATTAAAACGAATGTGTTAACAGGAACGTTATTAATGTTAATTGCGTTCTGTAGTGATCTTTAATGTGTCTATAAAAAGTTCTCGAGTTTATGCCGATATTCTGATTTATTTCAAATTTTCGGGTAGGTACTAGGAGATATAAAAAAATGCTTTTTTCTAAAACTGCAGAAATTCTAGGACGTGATATAAGGACGGACAGACAAACAAATACGACAAAATTTCTGAGTTTCTTTGCACTACAAACGCAGGCCTTAAATTGGAAATGCGAAAATATGGATGGAACTTTTTATAATTTTCTAGGGCCATATCTACTATTATTTCCATTAGTATAACTTTGGGCCCTCTATTCTACGTTGGTCGCAAGCTAAAGTGACCTATGATGTCATATATACATATTAAATATTTTTTACTTTACCTATATGGTACTTCTAAGTTACTTCTGTCGAAAATGGTAGCTCCCAACGTAAATATCCAAAAGGGAATCATTCCAAATGCTGCTAATGTACTAATTCCAGTCATAGTAATAGATAAGTCGATGTTTCCGTCTAAAAGTGCCGTCCAAATATTCGAACCGCCACCTCCAGGCGAAGAGCCTGTGAAAAAGAATCCCAATTGCATAGCAGGATCATCAGGGAAGAGAGCGTATCCAACTCCATAACTAAGCTTTCAAATTGAATAAATTAAAAAATAAAGCAGTTGTCTCGCATTTTACCAATAAATATAATAATTAAATATTAGAAATGCAGGAAATATATTAGAGTATCTATAACTAATGTTAAAGATCGTCTGATTGATCGAAAATTCGAATAACTTAATGTACAAAGAAGTACATAATATTGAGTCTAAAATAGAGACTATGGTAAAGGAAAAAGATAGAAGATTGAGATTTTTCAAAAGTTTAGATAGGTAAACTTTTCGAAAACGCTGCTATTTTCAAGATTTTAATTTTGTGTATACCAAAACAGATGATACTGTATGTGTTAAAGTATTATATATGTATATAAATATGTGATGTACTTACAAGGGGCATAAAAACAAATTGGCCCACAAAACCAATAGCTGGACCAATAGGCTTCTTCAAATATTTAATAAAATCTGTCCAATTGAGAGCACTTCCGAAATTAATATAGATCAAGCTCACAAGAACAGCTACCGACACGGTGAAAGCAGTATTTAGGGCACCATGACCCCTAATTACTCTAACATTAACCGATGCCTGTGTTAACAAGGTGTTTGTAGATTTCTGGTACAATTCTAAACTTAAATTTACTCGCCCTTAAAACATATTTAAATGGATTACGTACATACAATTGAATTTTGTTAACGTTTTAACGAAGTGTTATAATATATGTACTAAAGACAAAAAGAGTGTTAAAATAAATACACTTATTTTTTTTTTAATAATATTATTCTGGAAACTTATTATTTGGTCAAAAATTTGCGATTGTCATTTAAGTGTACATTCTTTTTTAAATTTCTTATTTAGCAATTTCGCTTTTAATTTAACGTTGATTGAATGGGCCTGTGATTATTTTGTTATCGTAACAGGTAAACTGTGTGGAATAATAAATTGGCTGGGAAGAAATAAGATTATAAGTACCTAAGAAAAACAAAAAATAACTTTACGTACCCAGAAACTTCCCATAAATACTGATATTTCCTGAATGGTACCCTCCTTCTTCTTGAAACTCTATTTTTCTTTCAGTTTGAACAATGTGATTATCACTGTTACTAATTAACATATAATAAATTTCATCCAAAGTAAAGTCTCCTAAAACAGCGCCAGTATAAAATCATAAGATAAGGGGTGGTAAAATCAATTTATTGTGAAAACAATTTACCAACGTTTCGCCCCTTGTGTGCGGTTTTTTAAAGATACAGTTTTCTTAGTTAAGTGAAAACATCCAATCGATTTGATTGATTTATATTTTTAACTATTATTATTTATTATTATTTTATTTATACACTCAATTTTAATTACTCGATCTAATAATTTTAATTAATCGTTTTTGTTCATTGTCGTGGTTTTTTATGGGTGTTTTTATCGTCCTTTGAACTTATGAGTGTTTTGCTTGTTGATATTTGATATATCACTGTTTCACTCACACCGATTAAATGTTTTCACTTAACTAAGAAAACTATACCTTGAAAAAATCCCAAACAAGGGGCGAAACGTTGATAAATTGTTTTTACAATAAACTGATTCTACAACCCCTATTATTGCTCCTTTTTTAATTATTGGCTTAGAATAGAAGAACTGATCAACATATTGCAATAACATTGAGAGCGAAGATTAAATTAAATAAATTTTTTAAATACTCATTATACGAAGATGGTTTTTTGTTTATAAAAATACCAACATTGCACGCCTTATCTTTATAGTATTGCAAACATAGGCGGATTATAGTTAATTATGCGAACATTCATGAGAACGTTAGTTTTGGAATAATTAACTGATAATATAGTAATTACAAGTAGGTATAGAACAAATAATAAACATTACACACCTGTAATATTGTATCCTATAATTTCGTTTTGATCCATATAAGCTGTTACATCAGAAGAAGAGAAAAGCAGGGTATAATCTTGTCCAAAAACACTTTTATTCAGTGTTAATCCCAACAACAAGAGAAATCGTAACATTATGACTAGCTTTTATATCTAAAAATAATGTTTTTATAGGGAATTAAAAATGTTTTTTTATACTTTTAATAAAATAATTACTTGATACTCGGTCTAGCTTATTCCACAAAATAAGTAAATACTTACAATCTACTAATGTAGTTATTTACGCACAGTTTTCTCGTACACAAAAAATGATAATTCAGTCAGTCCGAGAATGGAATTTGTTTAATTGAAAAAATTATTTAGCTATAATTAAATCATCTTACTGTAAATTTATACTTACAGGAGACACAAAACTGTATTAGAAGTTTAACACCAAAACTATTTTCAACACTCGTATAAATGATAATTTTTTTGATAACATAGTACATTTAATCGTACTCACGTACCAAGTAATCTTTTTTTCAAAATGATAGACATAATCACATTGATTTCCCTAATACTTACCTAGTTTTGTTGTTGCTATAAACTTATAAAATAAACTATATCCAAATGCTAAAATACTTAAATGCACAATTTTTATTATTAATGATGATAAATNCCGAGTGTTTTTTTCGTAAGTGCTTATTGTATGGTCCGACCCGCTTGAACGTTCTACCGCAAATATTACAACTAAAACATGATATTGAAGAGGCGTCGCGCATAAAGTGGACCCTTTTGTGTGTATTAAGAGTTGTAGATTGAATAAAACCTAAAATGCAAGTTCAACTAACTCATACATTACATTCTTCATAGATTTCTTACAATAATTGTTATAATTTACTTTAAAATTTTACCATAAATGACCTACGGCAATAACTGAGTAACAGTATAATCGGCAAGCCGTTAATAAAATTCCTCAACAAAATTAGAAAGACTAGGCATGAGACCTACCCTACTCCAGACTCAATATATTATACATATACAATAAATTTTTTCGATGCATAGAAACTTGTAGGAGAAGCAAAAAGTTTTATCGATCCAGATTGTTCCATTTAGTTTGTAAGACATAGTCTTTAAATTTTAATTTATAAATTACCTTTTCCGCATAGTTCACAGATATGAGGTCTTTCCCCCGTATGAATCATCTGATGCCTATTTAAATTTCCTTTGAGATTGAAGCGTTTTAGACAAATGTTACATTCATAAGGTTGCTCTTTGGTGTGAATTCGCATGTGTTGCTTTAATTTTGAAGATGTGAAATGTTTATTACACACATTACACGGATAATGCTTCCTTTGCTTCGGGTGTTTCACTTCTACACGATGTTTTCTGTATTCTATGTAAGAATTGTTTACAGCCTATAAAACAAATAAAAGATAATATATTTTTCCTTTTTCAGAACATTTTTTGTATTCATATAAGTGATTGATTGCAAAATTGCATCCCCACATCATAAATTTCCCGACACCTATATGCAGTCGATTATCCAATAAGTACAGTATACTCACGATAATATGACCAGCATATTAATTATGCTAGACCGCCGTATACTGTGAACGAAATATGTCTTACCTTATAGAAACGAATGTCCAGTTGAGATAAAACGGAAAAGCGAATTAATATGTAACGCAATGAGAACAAAATAAACGAGTAACATTAAAGAGTGTTTTCAATAAAGCGTTTGCGAATCTATCCAAAACTTTAGTTATCATCACTGCTTAAACATTGAATAGTTGAAAGTTTTACAAAATGGAAAAAAGTGTTTTCTTGATTAACAAAATAAGCTTTTAAAATTTCTAAGTAAAGTTAAATACACTCACAAACAGTAGTGTCTTTTAGTGAGTAAAAGTAATTTTGTTTTATAAAAGCATCTCAGAAACTCCAAGGCTAATAAATTTTCGTTATTTCCCATTACCATTCGTTTTATTCAAACGTTTTGANAACTATTTTCAACACTCGTATAAATGATAATTTTTTTTGATAACATAGTACATTTAATCGTACTCACGTACCAAGTAATCTTTTTTTCAAAATGATAGACATAATCACATTGATTTCCCTAATACTTACCTAGTTTTGTTGTTGCTATAAACTTATAAAATAAACTATATCCAAATGCTAAAATACTTAAATGCACAATTTTTATTATTAATGATGATAAATATTGAAATTCTATCAAGTCGCGAATTTGGAGCATTTTTAATTAGTTTTGTTTATTACATACAAATTATTTTCATATGTTGCCAATGCCATTATAATTATTATACCATATTTAAATTTATTGACACGATACCTACTTTTAATTTAAATGATTACGACTTACTCTTCTCTGTTGTGTATAACTTAAAGTACTTGTAAAAAGCATTGTATTTTAAAAAGTAAACAACTTGTGTGCTATTAAGTTTCAGTGATTAAGCCTCGGTTCTGAAATTGCATGTGTGGTAATATATTTAGCAATAAGCCTAGCGAACTTTACACAACATTCATTGAATTTTTTAACAATAAACTAAAGATAAGAATATAAAAACAAATGTATTATATAAGTTTCATTAAACGCTAACGGGGAAAAATGGATCACATTTCAAGTTATTTCCAGAGAACAATAAATATATAAAGCCAAATTTAAAACCCATAAGGAAGTTTCATAAATGATAATATTAAATATAACATCTTTTAATCTTAATTTATTTATTTGACACTGTTACGTAAAGTAATACATGCCCAAGTCATTACTCACAAAGGTATAAATTATAATAAATAATAATATAGTATCAAATTGTTTTTAAGGTTTTAAGGTGTCTCCTCTTTTCTGACTTTTCATGCCCACTTTAATTTTCAATACATTCCCAGTTCAATTGNAACATTTTAACTACACATTAAATAAGGATTAAATTGATATTTTAATTCACCTTATTCATTCGCCTTTTTTTAGTTGCCTGCTCACATTTTTCCTCTTTCTGATCTAATAAGGAACTATTTGTATCTTTTTCTGTAGTTTCATCATCAGACAAATAATCTTTTTCAGATTTAGTATTTGAATCAGTGAGTAAGTTTTCTTTATAATTGTTAGTTTTCTGTATTTCAGTTTTGTTTTCAAATGTGAACAAATTATTTTCTTCGCTTTTAATGTGGCCTGCCTTACAATTTGAGTCATTTTGGTTTTCTTGAGAAGTAATTTCACTAAAATGTTCATCACTATCGATAGGTGACATACAGAGTTTGGAATCATCTTCATGAAAATGTTTTGAAAATTCATTAACTGAATTATTTGTACCAAACAGTGTTTCCATAATTTCAGTCGATTTTTTACATTTTTTATGAAAAATGTAGGCTCTAACAATCTCTAAATAGCATAAAAGGCAAATACCTAAAAATTTATCAGTTTGTTCTATCTAAAATAAAATATAAAAAATGAAATTTAGAAAAAGTATTTACTTTATAATACATGTAGTACCTTAATAGAAAAATATTGCTCTACCAAATCCTTTACATTTTTCTGATCAAATGTTAAGTTTAAAATAGATTTAGTTTTACCAGACAAAAGACAAATTCTACAAGCAGTGCTGAAGTCTTGTTTTTGTAGATTATTTGGGTAATTTAAATCATTTTTCATATGCTTTTCTAAAGATTGTTGGACAGCTGTAAATTCCTCTTTTATATCTGAACTCTTTTCTAAAATGAAATAAATTAGATTATATAATATGAATAGAATGATAAGACACTACCATTTATTAAAAAAAAAAAAATCAAATATGATCACATATTAACCTAGTATATACACAACTTTATTTATAGTACAACATGAGTGTCAGACAATTAGGAAGTTCCGAATTCTACAATAACATCGTCAATGGTTGTATTGATTACATCGCCCGAACTAGTAATAACTTCCACGGTTGCACCAGCATCCCTCTCACAAGTGGTACTATTTTTCAATTTTTTTCCCGCATCTTTGGGTAAAAGTCTATGCTGGGCTCTTTTATGTTTCTTCATACTATTCGAATCATAAAATCCTCTATTACATACGGAACAAATGTACGGGGTTTCTCCTTAAATAAAAAAATATATTAAATAATAATGTTCGCTTGAGTTAACAATAGCAACAACATAATAAAAATACAGTCACACTCGATAGGGTGAACATCCCATGGCGAAAACTCCACACAAACAACACATTGATTATGATTATGCCATCCACAGTATACCGAAAACAAACTAAAACCTCGCTTATAGAAGCGAATGGTCATTAATCTTAAAAATTAATATTTTGTTGTATGTTGCAGTCTTTTAACTAATATGTGTTCGTATTTTATATTTGTATGGATGTTTATTTTGTTAATTGAAGACGTTTATCATATCCTAATTATAACATTCGTTAATATGAACAGATCGATAATGTGAACTATAATTTTTTTCGATTCACACTATCAAGTGTCTATATTTGAAATATATTAAATGAGAACAAGGTAAATACCGAGATTACCTACATAAACTGCAATTTAAAACTACCTGTATGCATCCGTACGTGCACTGTTAAGTTTCCTTTTAAAGCGAAACATTTTCCGCAAAAAGTGCAAGAATACGGACGTTCTCCGCTATGCGTTCTCAAATGATACGTTAGGTGTGTTAACTGAGTAAATCTTTTCGGGCAAAATTTACACACGTGTGGTTTCTCGCCAGTATGCGTGAGCATGTGCGAATCAAATGTCGAAATGTGAGCAAATGACTTGCCACAAACCAAACATTTGTATGGCTTCTCTCCGGTGTGTACCTTAAAATATTACACACAATTATAACGTAACAAGATGTTCTAAGATTACCAAATTCATTAATAAATATAGAAACTGATTTGATGTTTATAACAACAAAATATATTAACAATTACCTTTAGATGAGAATCCAAAGCTGGTTTGGTGGCATAACTTTTTCCACAACCGTTACATAAGTACTTTCTTTCGCCATGAATTCGTTTGTGGGCATTCAAGTGATGCTTTTGTTTGAAGGCACTATTACAAATTGTGCATACGTAATCGCGAGCCTCTTCCTTCTTTATTTCTTCTTCAAATTTCTCCTCCGAGTGTTTTTTTCGTAAGTGCTTATTGTATGGTCCGACCCGCTTGAACGTTCTACCGCAAATATTACAACTAAAACATGATATTGAAGAGGCGTCGCGCATAAAGTGGACCCTTTTGTGTGTATTAAGAGTTGTAGATTGAATAAAACCTAAAATGCAAGTTCAACTAACTCATACATTACATTCTTCATAGATTTCTTACAATAATTGTTATAATTTACTTTAAAATTTTACCATAAATGACCTACGGCAATAACTGAGTAACAGTATAATCGGCAAGCCGTTAATAAAATTCCTCAACAAAATTAGAAAGACTAGGCATGAGACCTACCCTACTCCAGACTCAATATATTATACATATACAATAAATTTTTTCGATGCATAGAAACTTGTAGGAGAAGCAAAAAGTTTTATCGATCCAGATTGTTCCATTTAGTTTGTAAGACATAGTCTTTAAATTTTAATTTATAAATTACCTTTTCCGCATAGTTCACAGATATGAGGTCTTTCCCCCGTATGAATCATCTGATGCCTATTTAAATTTCCTTTGAGATTGAAGCGTTTTAGACAAATGTTACATTCATAAGGTTGCTCTTTGGTGTGAATTCGCATGTGTTGCTTTAATTTTGAAGATGTGAAATGTTTATTACACACATTACACGGATAATGCTTCCTTTGCTTCGGGTGTTTCACTTCTACACGATGTTTTCTGTATTCTATGTAAGAATTGAATGTTGCATTGCAATGATTACAATGAAGTATAGCCTAAAAGATTATTTAATATTATACATTTGCAATATAATATAAAGTGTAATAACATTTTAACTACACATTAAATAAGGATTAAATTGATATTTTAATTCACCTTATTCATTCGCCTTTTTTTAGTTGCCTGCTCACATTTTTCCTCTTTCTGATCTAATAAGGAACTATTTGTATCTTTTTCTGTAGTTTCATCATCAGACAAATAATCTTTTTCAGATTTAGTATTTGAATCAGTGAGTAAGTTTTCTTTATAATTGTTAGTTTTCTGTATTTCAGTTTTGTTTTCAAATGTGAACAAATTATTTTCTTCGCTTTTAATGTGGCCTGCCTTACAATTTGAGTCATTTTGGTTTTCTTGAGAAGTAATTTCACTAAAATGTTCATCACTATCGATAGGTGACATACAGAGTTTGGAATCATCTTCATGAAAATGTTTTGAAAATTCATTAACTGAATTATTTGTACCAAACAGTGTTTCCATAATTTCAGTCGATTTTTTACATTTTTTATGAAAAATGTAGGCTCTAACAATCTCTAAATAGCATAAAAGGCAAATACCTAAAAATTTATCAGTTTGTTCTATCTAAAATAAAATATAAAAAATGAAATTTAGAAAAAGTATTTACTTTATAATACATGTAGTACCTTAATAGAAAAATATTGCTCTACCAAATCCTTTACATTTTTCTGATCAAATGTTAAGTTTAAAATAGATTTAGTTTTACCAGACAAAAGACAAATTCTACAAGCAGTGCTGAAGTCTTGTTTTTGTAGATTATTTGGGTAATTTAAATCATTTTTCATATGCTTTTCTAAAGATTGTTGGACAGCTGTAAATTCCTCTTTTATATCTGAACTCTTTTCTAAAATGAAATAAATTAGATTATATAATATGAATAGAATGATAATATAGGTATAACTAGACAGAAATTTAACAAAAAACCATCATATACCTAATCCTAATGTAATAAGCAATTCCTTCATAGAGTTAATTTGTAATTCTTGGTGATATAAACGATATTTCAGTGTCTTTACTTCTTTTCTCAACTGTTCTTCAGCAGGAGATTTAAAAAGAATTGGAATTGTCTGAACAGAAACATCCCACATGAATCTTTCCTGAAATGTCATTTTTGAAAAGCAATTTATCAATAGCTTCTAGGTCCATGTATAACTTCATAAGTATTCATTAAAAGGAAAAAGTACATCGACATGTTCTACTAGACTAGATTATTCAAAACACATATAACCTGTTCTGCAGCTTCTGTACTATTTGTTGGCTTATCATTTTGTAGAAAATCTTCACACATAATGTCAGATACAATCTAACAAAGTAGATGATTGTAAAAACCAACAATATTTAGAACTATCACTTACCAATTCACCATCAATAATAAATATAGTTGGAATAGCATCTTGTCTTAGCTTTTTCTTGACTGAATGTTCTGGACTACCCAAGGGTACTAAAAATTGAGGCAAAAAATGTCTACTACAAATTCGTGAATGTACGGTTGGAGGTTTACGTAGGACTTCCTTTGGTATCACTTTCATCCATTTTTCTAACAAATCTAAGTTACTTAAAGGAAATCTAAAAGAAAACCAAAATATTGACATAACCTATTATTAAATGAAACTTTATTTTTATCTTGAAATACCCACTTAAAAAACGAAATGCCTGAATTAGGAATCCACACTGAAGGGCAATTTTTTATAGCACAACTGTGTACCATTATAAAATTTATAACTATCTTTTTTCAAAAATAAAAATAACAATAAATCTATAACACTGTAATATTCTTTGAATATATACTACTGGAGTGTACTGGGCATAGATAGTATAGTACTGGAGATTAATCTATGGTAGGTAACCTTAACATCTAATCCATGCTTAATATGTTTTTAATGAGGGGTTGAACCTATGGATTAATTTGATAAAGCCATAGAAAATAAAGCATTATCAGTGTAGCCTATCACATAACCTATTCATTTTGTTTATTTTAAGGAATTAAAATACTGATCGTGAGAGTTGTGTAATGTTTATTACTATTGATTACTATCAATATATTTTATAGTTTCTAACAAGGAAGAGTATACATTTGTTGCAATGGCTAGTAATAGGCAAGTATCATATACAAGATATTTAATACTTCTTTATAATCAGTTTTTGCATTATAGTTGCCTGACGAAGGAATCTATGTTTTCGGATGATATTTGTTCAACTATTTTTCAAACATATTCCGACCAATGTAGGCTTAAAAACATATTAATTATGTGAAGTTTTTTACTAGTATTTCTCAAATTCCAGACATAAATAATGAAAACTTTAATAACGATAATGAAAATCCACCTGGTCAGATAGATAATGTTTCTGTTTCTTCAAATAGTTCTGCCAGTAATTTGAAAATCGATGCTCCTGAGTTTATTCCATTTCAAAAATTGAAAATTGGAGATTTAAAAGGTCATAAGACAATGGATTGTTTGAAAGATAATTCAGAGACAACAGTTATTTCTAATGATAATGATAATAAGTTTGTATGTATTGTTTTATACTTTTAAACAAACTTTAAAAACCAAGTTTAATTAGGATGCAGATTTCAAAAATGATGTGTTATTCTTGCTTCAAAACATACTGAAGAAGTTAGCAAGTGAGTTTTCCCATCTAAATCGAAAACAAGAGGATTTGTTATTTAAAAGGGAAGATAGGGTATGGTATTATTTTTTCTTATTACAGTCAGAGACATGAAAACTATTTAAAAATCCCCAAATTAATTTACAATAACTCCTATGCAGGTAAACTTTCTACAAAAAATGTTTCTGGATGAGGTAAATAAAGAAAAACAAAAATTAGAAGAAGAAAAAATAAAAAATGTGCAATTGCAAGCTAAGTTAGAAAGCCTTAGGTAAAATTTTGTTAAGTATAAAGGTAATTTTTTATACATTCCTTTAGTGAAATTTTAGCCAAAACAACTAAGGAAAAGGAAGAGCAAATTAAACAAAATGTTTTGCTGAAGAGCTACCTAGAGAAACAGTTAGATGTCATGAATAATTTTCAAAAAAATGTGTTAACAGAGTAAGTAAAATTTGAATCATTAAGGTAAAACTAGAGTTGGGGTAATTTTAAGGTAATCATTTATTTAGTCAGTGTTTTTATATTATAAATATCTATTTGTACTTTTATTCTAAAGA